TAGTCCTCCTAAATCTCAGGTCTACCCCTTTGGAACTCATAAACTCTCACCCTTTGAAATAATCACAGGTCGCCCAATGCACTTGGCTCCTGCTTCTTTCGATCCTCAGTTGGTAAAGGGAGACATACTTCAATATTGTAAAGGCCTAATTGCTTCTGTTAAAAATAATCATGCTTTGGTAGAGCAGTCTTTTCACAGTGCATTCCTGGGAGATGGAGACCTTCAACACCACACTCTACAACCTGGAGATTTTGGTTTACTGGGAAAGACACCTCTAAAAGGACTCTCTCCAGCCTTGCTGAAAGGGCCCCTATCCAGTACAGGTAACTAACCTTTGTGCTGCTAAACTCCAAGGTGTGGACTCCTGGATCCATGTGTCACACCTCAAGAAGGCCCCAAACCCTGAATGGACCTGCATTCTGTCAGGTGATCTGAAGATAAAACTCACTAGGATTTGAAGCAGCTAACATCTGAGGCAGACAGCTTTCCTAAGATGACTGGACCAAGCCTGGATACCCTTTTCTCACTGTTGTTTCTTAACTTTATTTTCTCCCTCTCTTTCTTGGAAGGACAGTGCTTTTGTCCACATTTCCCAGTCCCTTGCAAAAGGGGGAAACCTCTCCGATTGCTGGATTTTCCGTCAGAAACCTTGGTCTGTCCAAGACAGTAATGACCCCTTAGTTCACCCTTTAAGCAAGTTTACTGGGATTCCAAATGCCATTGTCTGTTTGAATTATTCCGTGGACCCATTTTGTAGTGTCAGAGTGCAAAGACAACCTAAACTTGTACCTTGTTTCAATTTAACCCAACTTTGGGAGGAAAAAATGAGATCTTTTGAATATTTGTATGGAAAATTCTGTGAGGCCACCAATGTAACCTGGGCTATCTGTAAATTTCTTGAGATTATCCATATATTTAGGCAACTTCTCAGTATGTAACAACAACATTTTCATATGTGGAAGTTTTGATAACAGCCTTTATGCTTGGGCAACTCATTGCCTGGACAGCTGCAGAATACAAGGACAAATGTGTCTGGACTATATTCAGTGTCCTATTGTCTCTACATAACCAAACAGAGGCCTCTCACTGGTCCTTTCTGTTAAACTACTATAACCACTTTAAACAAGAACTTCTAGGGGGCCTGTGTGATTCTGGGTTCGCCTCCATGGGAAGAACTTTCTTCCCATGGATTGGAGTGAATGTCAATGAACAAATGATCAGGAATCTGTTCCTGACACTAGAAGAGTTGGCCAACTCTACAGCCAAAGCTCCAGCTCAGCAACAGTTGCTTAACTCATGGGCTAAGGTACTTTTGGATAATCATAGAGCCCTTGATTATCTAATTCCTGAGCAAGAAGGTGTCTGTGCAGTGGTGGATATCTCTTGTTGCACATGGATAAATGCTTCTGGGGAAGTAGAAACCCAATTAGGTAAGATTAGAGAGCAAGTACATTTCACCTAACAATCCACTGTCTTGATCTGTTCAGTGGGTTACCTTCAGGTCTGGGCTCCTGGTTTAGAACCATTCTGCAAACTGGGTTTATAGTATTGCTCTTAATCTTACTTTGTATACTTGTTGTGAAGTTCTGTACATGTTGCCTGTCAAACCTCTGTAAAAATGACATGCTCAATAAGGTGATGTTAGCTCAGTGCTTTGAGATGGTCTCCAATGCCTATGACCTAGGAGAAATATAGACTGTAGAAATGTCTGAGAGTTCTTCCTCCTAACTTTCCTTGTTACTCAAACGTGGCCTAAATGGTTTCCAACCACTATGCATTTTCCCTCTAACATAGGACCCGACAACCAGGGCAGGTCTTTCCTGGCACCAAGGGACAAAACCACTATGTGCAGAGTACCTGACTCTTGATCAGCAATGCTTTTGGAGAGAGATCTTGATCAAGAGGGGAAAATGTGAAATGAATAAGAGAAACCTCAGCTAAATTGGAGTCGCAAAGGCCGGCAGGGAGAACTCTCACATCCTATCATACATCGTCAATTACTCCAAAAAGGAAGAGACTTACACTTGCATCTCCCACAGGAAGTACAACTACTGTACTACTGAAGGAAGATTTCTCTCCCTGGCCAGCAACAGCCCAGGCAATGAGAAATGCCACAGCTCAGCCAATGAGAAGCTGTCACCACCCTGAACTGTTACTTTCCTCCGATGGACTTTCATGTAGAACAGCCCCTCCCTACTCCCCCTTTTGCTCTATAAAATCAAGCCCCTTCCTGTGTCTCCTTGGATTTGCCAATGGTTCGCCACAGCATACACATCCCAAATTGCAATTCTTTTGGCTATTCCCAAATAAACTTGTTTTGAGGGTAAAATGACTGGTGAATTTGCTTTTTAAGTTGACACTCCATATTGCATGCATTTAAAAGAACATTTGTTATATTTCATCCAGCATTTCCACGTGTTTTGTGGAAGGAGAATTTTTGGATTATCTAGTCCTTTACACTGGAAAAGGAAGTGTTCTTTCCCAAGCTTTTCAGCATTAACAGCAACTTTTATTATCTTGTTATTCCCTCTCCACCTCTGTGGACTCCTATTTGAAACCAATATCGAGTGGACAGCCAGCATTTGTTACATAATAATTTGGAACCTGTGACTTCTTGTTCTGTTGGGTTGGTAAACTTGTCTTATCCACCAATCCCATTGCTGTCTTTATGAGCCAATCAGAGTTTCAGGAAACAACCCTACACTTAGCAAAAGCCTCTTCAGTGCCCTGCCTTGTGCTAGGCCCTAGGGATAGGCAGGAAAAGGGAAGACTCTTGGCCTCTTCCCTGATCAACTGGAGATTTTACTAAGTTGACCTAGTCCTAGCCGAGGAGTTCTTTACCTTGCCCAGTGGGGGCTGCTTAGAATCACCTTGGAATCTTTCTAAATATTGATGCTTGGGCTCTACTCTTAGAGGATGTGATTCAGTAGAGTGAGGTCTGGATATGAATATTTTGAACCTATGGTCATTTTTATTGCAGGTAGCATGGTGGGTATAAAGGTACAATTTCTATAAGGCCTTCTGAAATAACGAAAACCTCTTGTGAACTGTAGGTCCATTTGGTTCAGTTTCCCTCCCAGGGGTAAGGCTATCTCCTGCAGTATCCCTGAGGCTGGTCAGCCTCAATTTGAACATGTCCCTTCCCTCAGAGACAGGGACTCAGTCCCCACAGTGGCGTCATGTTCAACCTCAGAACACCTCCACTTGCCCCAAGTTCTTCCGTTGGTCTTTTCTTGTAGTTACCCTGTTCTCCCTTCTCCCCAGTGGCTCTTCAGGCAGCCAAGTGACGTTTCTGCTAAGTGAACACCTGGCCTTCAATTCTAGCCGTCCTAGGAACAATTATAGGAGGTTTCCCAGAGGGAGTGACCTTCCAGCTGTTTGATGCTTTATGCCATGCAGATCCCATGAGGGGCTCTTATCACAGACCCTTAGGGCTGGCAGGGTCCTCAGAAGTTTTATACATACACATACACAGTCAATTCTCGTTTCTCATCATACTTATGTTCTAAAAGTCACTGTGAACACTAAATTAGTGAACACTGGGCTGGGCTCCTGAAAGCCTCTGATCACATTTTTGTCAAGCGATTGATACATAACCTTATTTGTTTTATGTGTGTTTCTGTTTAAAGACACCTTAATATATATTACTGATTCATTAACATTGAACTCAAGGCCGATAGCACTTTAACTCATGTCTGAACTAAGCTTATTTAACACACGTAGTTTCCTCAGGCACATCACACCCTTCTTGCACTTAGGTACACTAGACAGCACTTTAGGCTTGGGGGCCATTTTTAAACAGTGAAATCACCAACAAAAAGCACAAAAATGTGAAAAACGTGGCGCTAAATCCATCACGAGAAGGACACTCGTTTACAGCACAAAAGCTGAAACCAGAAGGCCGACAGAGCATGGTCTTGTTCCACCTCAGCTGTGAATAAGCGCATGGGGCAACTTAAAATTTTTTCCACCTCAAGAGCTCTTTGAGTATTGATTTTGGGGTACAAATAAATTTTTGCGAGTAGGCAAATTCACAAATTCAGAAGCAGCAAATAAGCATCAACTGGGGTTGGCGCGGTGCTGTAGTGGTTAAGTTCACGCGCTCCACTTGGGTGGCCTGGGGTTTGCAGGTTCAGATCTGCGGCACAGACCTACCGACCGCTCCTCAAGCCATGCTGTGGCGGCATGCTATATACCAAATACAGGAAGATTGGCAACAGATGTTAGCTCAGGGCCTACCTTCCTCACCAAAAAAAAAAAAAGCATCAACTATATCTATATAGTCCTTCTACTAAAGGCTTTGTTTCTGTCACCTCATTTAATCCTCACAAAACAACACACGTGAATGAGTGTCAGAGAGGTTAGAAAAGGTCACAGCTAGTGACTGAACCATGGTTTTTGTTTTAGACGTATATATAGTAAATTCCCCCCACCTTTATTGGCATACAGTCCTATGAGTTTTAACACATGCATTTACCCTTCTAACCACCACCACTAGCGGGATACAGAACAATTCCAACACTCCAAACATCTTCCTCAGGCTACCCTTTTGTGGGTCGGGTTTCCGGTCACCCCCTGCTCCGTGTCAGGCCCTTCTCCAGGCCACACTCCTTCTCATCGTAGAGAACCTAAATCCGAATGGCTGGTACCAGGTTACACAGCTTTTTTCCGACAGCTAAGGCGGAGCTGGACCTCGGCCCAAGACTTCCTCCATATAGGATTTCCTCCCCCTCTCCGTCTCCAAACTAACGCGCGCCTGCGGCGGCGCCGCGCACGCGCAGGCGACCCTGAGCCCCGCCCCCGCCTTGCACTGCCCGAGCGCGCCCCACCCCCTCACCGCCTCCCGTCCCGTCCGGCCCCGCCGCCGGTCTTTGGGGAACTTCGCCGCCGCAGCAATTTCAGTCTGTCCGCGTTGTGTGCTGCCTTCGCGTGCCCTAAACCTGTCCTCCGGCCCCAGCCGCGCCATGTCTCCTGCCGCCTCACGGTCTCAGCCACTGCGCCGGGTGTTCGTGGTGGGAGTGGGAATGACCAAGGTAAACAGCGCCCGATCCCCGGAGGCGGGCTCCGTGCTCCGCTCTGTTCGCGTGAGGCCGAGGGAGCCCGAGGTGACCGGGAAACGGGGAGTGGGTCAGGGCCTGGCGTGGTCCGTCCGTCTGTCCTTCCTACCTGCCGCTGCCCGGCGTGTCCCTCCGCGCAGCTCCGGCTCCCTGCCCCTGGGGCATCAGAGTGGCGACTCGGCGGGTGGTGATGTGGGTTCTCGCAGGAATCGCAATGTCTCCGAGTTGTTCCTGCGGGACTTGTCTTTCCCCTTCCTCCTTCAGTTTTCTCCGTGGGTCAGAGTTCGTGAAGGACATCCCGAGATAGCCAAAGTCCACACCTCCTTTGAGTCTGAGTGGAATCCCAAGGCATGTGGACCTCCAACGAGGCCAGGTCCTCCTCACAGCTGAAAGGAAAGCGCGTCGTGATTGTCACCATTCCTGCACGCGCAGGAGTGCTTCCTGTAGGATCCCTTCTCAGGGACAGTTTGAAGTGCGGATGAGCAGGAGAGACGTTAGTGATGCTCAGCGTCCCTGCTCCATGGCAGGTTTTCTGGATCCTCCGACCTCCTTTCTGTTGCTCAAGTGGTACTCTGCTTGCTACGCCGAGGTTCCTACAGCCTCACTTCTTGACAGCGTCACCGCCCCCACGCTCTAGTGATGCCAAACTGCTTTTAGTTTCGCCCCCAAACTCTGTTTTATGCCTCTGTGGCCTTGCTTCTGTTGTTCTTACTACTTGTGCCATTTGTCTTCCCTTGGTTAATTTCTTTGCATTTTTAAAAGATCAGTTCATGTCTTGTCTTCTCCAAGAAGCCTCTGATCCTCCTGACTTTCCCACAGAGCCCTGTGCTTACCTCTATCTTAGTACCTAGTGTGTGATAGTGAAATTCTCTGTTGATATGTCTGTATTTATTAGCATGTAAGCTCCTCAAAGGTGAGTACCATGTCTAATTCATTGCTGTACCTCTAGCACCCTGAAAGTGCCTGGTGCCTGAAGACCCTCAATGAATGTTAGTTGAACAGTAGTAAGTGGATATGCTTTGTGGAAGAGAGTTCCTAGGAGAAGTTCTCTTTCTGAGAAAACAGCCTTAAAATTTTTATCATCTTACCAATGGGCTGAGAGTACACAATCCAATCAAAAGATGTAAATAGAAAAGTCATCTAATACATTATAAACTAGATACTTGGAGATCATCGTATTGTTTCATGGGGGAGGGGACTTCTAATATAGGTGGACAGGAAACCTTTCTAAGTATAGTATTAATGCAGTCAGATCCTCTGTTGGCTGTTGAATGTCCAAATATATGAGCTATGTAGAAAAGCACAGAGCTTTCTAACCCTTCAGGAAGTAGGAGATATATTTCTTTTTACCCAAGTTGGGAGGTGGAGGTGTGGGAGTTGTTAGTTACAGTCCTGAGGGAAGAGATTGAAAGTATGGAGAGCAGCTTTATTGATTTATTAGGCCAGTGTACTTCTCTCTGGGTTTGATCTTTTGGAACTTGAGGCAGGGTTTGATGAAGAGGGAGAAATTTGCTAGGTAATACTTTAAGCTCTGTTGGTAGATCTCAACTGGTTGGGTTCTTGTGTTATGGTTCTTAATATGAATAGCTGAATTCCCCAGACAACTTGAAGTTCTCTTAATGAGATTTTATTATCAGTGTAGGAAATGAGTTAGAATTTCTATGATGGATGTCAACAGATTTGAATACAATAAATCACAAATGCCACCTGGCTGACAGCAGGCCAGGTCCTTTTGCTTATGCTGTCTACTTTCTGATATGCCCTCTTTTCGTCGATTTAAATTCTACCTGTTTTCAAGAACTAGTCTGTCTTAGTCTGTTCGGGCTGCTCTAACAACACTACCATAGACTGGGTGGCTTGAAAACAAATATTTATTTTCTCACAGTTCTGGAGGCTGGGAAGTCCAAGATTAAGGCACTGGCAGATTCTGTGTTTGCTGAGGTCCTGCTTCCTGGTTCATAGACTGTTTTGCTGAAGGCGGGTGAGGGACATGGCAGAAGACATGACAGTAGGGGCGAGGAAGCTCTCTGGGGTCTCTTTTATAGGGGCACTAATTCCATTTGTTAAGGCTCTATCCTCCTGATCTCCCAAAGGCCCCACCTCCAAATACAGTCACATTGGGGATTAGATTTTAATATATGAATTTTGGGAGGACACAGACATTCAGTCTATAGCAGACTTCAAGTCCTGTATTTTGTTACAACTTCCTCAGACTACCTAAGTTATGCTGGTCACCTTTTTTGAGATTCTGATGCCCTTGTAGTCAGGATCATATAATTCAGCACTTAATTTTTCTAATTCCACGACCCACAGAAGGAAATATGTCTTAAATCACAACCCTGTACACACACGCGCGCACACACACACACACACACACAACTGAAACAAGTTTGCTAAAGCAACACTTATCCTTACTAAGTGTGATGAACTCTTGATATTTCCTCTTCTAGTTCATTGAAAAAAAAAATGCTGCTCACAACCCACAAACCTTAAAATTGATTTTGCCACCCTCTACAACCTACAGTTTGAAAGATATTACATTATCTCATTTACTTCTCACCGTGTAATGATTATCCCATTTTATTGTTCATCCCTGAGGCTCAGATGGTCTAAGTAATGTATCTATCTTGGTACAGCTCCTAATTTTGGAACTGCATTACTTAAAATCTTATATTCCTTCCATTCTATCTCTGCCATACATTACTGTTAACAGTTAATTCATCATTTAAGCATATATTCAATAAACATAGTGTGTTATATGCTAGGAATAAAAAGATGAAAAAAGCAAGGTTTGTGTTCTTAAGGAATGTATAATATGGAGGAGAAAAGGATAAACAAGTAATTTAAATACGATGGACATTTGGTTAAATATGGCAAATTGAAAATACAAATTTATCTGTATTGGTACTTGCCGAATCCCACTAAAATGATAGTAAGGAAATAAAAATGGTATTAAACCACAAGGTTGAAATGAATAGGCGAGAAGGCAATAGCAGAGAGATGTCGGAAAAACATTGGATGATTAAAAGCTGATGGAGAAGTGGTCATTGGTTCAGAATAGAGGATCCTACAACCGGAGTTCCTGAAGAGGGGTTATACTGGCTGAGTCTCCCCGCACTTCAGAAGGCTCAGGATTTACATGTATTAGGTGCCAAGGAAGGTGGGGATGAGGGGAGGGAAGGAAAACACTCTATGGAATACTTGGATCGCAAGATCCCTTTTATCACCAGGTGACTATCCCTTCCTTATCAGGATATTGAAGGCTTGTTCTCTGGCGAAACTGAACAGATGAGGCTCTAGACTCATCCGGGCTGTTAGGCTTAGTGGAAGGCAGGAATGAGGCCCAAGTTGAAAAAAGGGAATTAAATGAAATTCTACATGCTAAATGATGATACTTCCCAGCCTTGTTCCCAGAACACTGGTAACCAGACATATATCAGCTTCCTGGCAGAGGTTTGGAAAATTATTAGAAATGGCTCCAGAGAAAAGCCAGATTACCACTCCACTCAAAGTGCAAAATTTTAAAATAACAGAGTATGAAAAGTTCGTTAATAAAGTTTTAAATTCCACATTGCAACTAACCTGTAAGAAACTCTCACTTGTCAAGTTTTAGTGTAGTATTAAAAAAGAATATCCACAATTATCTAAAAAGGCTATTAAAATACTCTTCTCTTTTCAACTGCATATCTGTATGAGGTCAGATTACTTCATACCAACACACCATAATGCCAAAGGTCAAATGAAGAATCAGATATGAGAATTCAGTTGTCGCCTATTAAACCAGACATTAAAGGGAATTGCAGAAATGCAAAACAATGCCACTCATCACTTTTTTGAGGGAAAATATAGGTATTTTTCATAATAATTATTTTTGTTAACATGTAATAGGTTTATTTTTTTGAGTGAATTGAAAGATATTTTTAAATGTCCTCAGTTTGGGGCCGGCCCGGTGGCGCAAGCGGTTGGGTGCGCGAGCTCCGCTGCGGCGGCCCGGGGTTCACTGGTTCGGGTCCCGGGCGCGCACCGATGCACTGCTTTGGCAAGCCATGCTGTGGCGGCGTCCCATATAAAGTGGAGGAGGATGGGCACGGATGTTAGCCCAGGGCCGTCTTCCTCGGCAAAAAAAAAAGAGGAGGATTGGCGGATGTTAGCACAGGGCTGATCTCCTCACAAAAAAAAAAAAAAAAAAAAAAAATAAATGTCCTCAGTTTTAACTGCTAGGATGGTAAATATTGGTAAATGTAACCCTCATAATCAAAATCTCTTTGGCCTCTTCAATGATCTTTAAGAGTGTAAAGTGGTCCTGAGACCAAGATGTTTGAGAATTGCTGGCTCTAGTGACTGAGCACCAACAGCTGCTAACAACGCAAAGAGAGAAACAATCAGATGTTATATGCTTCCTCATGAAAGGATATACCACCACCTATAGTCTTGTCGAGGGGATGGAACGTGAGTGTGCAAGCTTCTGGATCCAGCTGCCAATTCACGGGAAATACGGAGAACAGAGGAACTTGTTGAACTGCATGTGTATGCAGTCTGCAAAATCTGGACTCTAGGAAGCTACAGGTCAGGTGCTCCTGGTTCTTTAACAGATACATTGAGAGGAAAAGAAAGTAGTGGACAGGAACCTGTAGATTAACAGAGTATTAAAAGGCCCATAAAATTTTAAAAAAATGGGCAAGACTAATCTGTAGTGTCTGCAGATACGCAAGTAGGTGATAAAACTGAAATATTACAAGCAATTCATTACTGTAAGAATCAGGATAGTACTCTGGTCCCTTGGTATCCACAGGGGATTGATTCCAGGACCCACTGAGGATACCAAAATCACGAATGCTCAAGTCCCTTATGTGAAATGGTGTAGTATTTGCATATAACCTATGCACGTCCTCCTGTGTACTTTAAATCATCTTAGATTACTTATAATACCTAATACAATGTAAATGCTGTGTAAATAGTTGTTATACTGTGTTGTTCAGGGAATCATGACAAAAAAATGTCTGTACATGTTCAGTACAGACGGAACCATTGTAGGCCTTTCCATCTGTGGTTGGTTGAGTTGGAGGATGCAGAACCAGGGGATAAGGAGAGCCAACTGTAATTACTTTGGGGTTAGCGTGGGGATTGAGATTGGGACAGAGTGTTCAGAGGAGTTTCTGGGGTGGGAGGCAAAATTCAGCTTTTTGATCTGGGTGGTGGTGTCAAAGAAAGGCAGACACTAGGTAACGTATTAAGACAGACTTTAATCAGTAATATACTATTGCAAGAGGGAAAAGAGTCCAGTGTGAACTGAACTGAATTTTGATTTATAAAGAGCTAACTGGGCGTGTTAAAGGGAGAATGAGGGGATAGGGAGGTGGGTGAGCAGGACTGTGTAGAGTTAGGGAACTGAAAACTTAGAAAAAGCAGGAAGGAGTGGTGAAACCCATCTGGGTTTGCTAACTGGCGCTTATCCAACCTTAGGCTCCTACCCTCCCACAGAGACTGGGAGATGGGCCCCCTCTTCAGGTGTTGGCTGGAACAGTCAATTCTTTTGGCAGCCTTGAGTTTTCTCAGGTAGGCACTTTAAGTGGGACTAGGGTCATCCTAGGGATGGGACTAGGGTCATCCTAGGGATGTGGCCTTGAGCTGTCAGAAACTATGTTAATAGTGTTTGTTTAAGTGTTTATAGGCCAAGGTTGAGGCCTAGTAGAGAAGAGGACTCAGAGGAGCCTAACTAGAGTTTGGTGAAGGAGATAATCTTTGTCAGTGGTTGCAAGAGTGTTTGCCTTAAAATAATTCATTAGGATATATATGTGTGTGTGTGTGTGTGTAGTTTTCTGTATCTGTTATTTTTAATAAAAAGGTTAAAACTTAAAAAATGAGACAGTAAATAACTCCAGAAAAAAACCCCAAATATTGTACAATAAAGGAAATGTAATCAGAGTATACAACTTGGCCCAGTAGTAAGAAATATTTACTTAATAAGGTAAACCCTGGTACTGATTTAATGAAAAATTATGATTCAACTATATAACGAGGATGAGGGAGGTATAAATGTATATGTAAGGTGGCCTAAGAGACCTAATACTCATTGGCTCTTATTAGAGATTATAATATAATTTCTTAAATTGATAAAGAAAGAAATAATAGTATAAGAATATTTAGAAACATGCCAGTTTATAAAAGAAGAAATATCTAAAAGAATTGAAAGTGGATGTTTTGGGAGCAAGTAAGACTAGTGTGTGGGGAGTAGTGAAACAGGATTGCTGTTTTTATTATAAGCTTTGTGGTACTTCTATTTTTTTGCATTTCTTTGATTCAAAAAAATGAAAACTAGAAAACAAATATAAATAGAACATTACCAGCACCTCAGAAATCCCTCTTGTGCCCACTTCCAGTCACTGATTCCTCACCTGCAAAGGGTTACTATTATCCTGACTTCTGACCTTTAACATCATAGATTAGTTCTGGCTTTTTCATTCAACATTATCTTTATGAGATTCATCCTTAATTTTATGTGTAATTATAGATTATTCATTCTCATTGATGTAACATAGTCCATTGTGTGAACATATCACAATTTATCTGATCTAGTGTTAATGAACATTTAGTAGGTTTCACCTAAACATGCTTTTAATTTTTTTTTTTTCCTGCTGAGGAAGATTCGCCCTGAGCTAACATCTCTGCCAGTCTTCCTCTATTTTGTATGTGGGTCGCCACCACAGCATGGCTGACGGGTGCTGTAGGTCTGCACCCAGGAACTAAACCTGGGCCACTGAGGCAGAGCGTGTCAAACTTAACCAATAGCCCATGGGGCCAGCCCTAAACATGCTTTTAATTTTGAAGGAGTAATGTTTTATATGTTCATTTGCTTGACTAACCTTTTAAAAATTGCCTTGATTTCAGTAAGAAATGGGAAAGTGCAGCTATTTCACTACATGGAGATACTTTAATCATTAATGGGTAGTACTTTTTGGAGCCTAGCACAGTACTCTCTCTTTATAGTAAGTGCTCTTTATAAATACTCTGTAACTAGTGAACTGAAGAATAAGTAGGGGGAGAACTGGCCGTTTTTGGATGCTGAATTAGGGAATTATGCAGGATTTCTTACTTCAGGAATTATGAAGAATTGGGATGGGTCAGAGATAGGAACAAATGTTAAATGTTTTGTTTTGGTTCTGTTCAACAGATGTATTTTGGTGCTATGTAATGATGTGTGGCATTTAAGTCAAGTATCTGTGTGGTGTTTCAAACTGGGTTTTGTGACCCTTTGGGGAGTTTTGAAATCAGTTTAGAAGGTTGCCTCTAGCATACAAAAAAAATTGAAATAGAATAGAAAATATTGTATCAATATAATAAGGATAAGTAGTTCATGAAATTTTTGCTTCAATTATGTATGTATATATGTGTCTACTAGGTTGTGTTGTAATATGGATCTTATTGTGGTTTGCAGTCACGATTTTTTTTTGTGTGTGTGAGGAAGATTGGCCCTGAGCTAACATCTGTTACCAATCTTCCTCTTTTTCCTTGAGGAAGATTGTTGCTGAGCTAACATCTGTGCCAATCTTCCACTATTTTGTATGTGGGACGCCTGCCACAGCATTGCTCGATGAGTGGTGTGTAGGTCCACACCTGGGATCCAGACCCGTGAACTCTGGGCCGCTGAAGCAGAGCGCATGAACTTAACCACTAGGACACCGGGCCAGCCCCACAGTGAAAAAAATTTTTTGTTTTTGGGGGGAAGTTGAGCCCTGAGCTAACATCCATTGCCCATCTTCCTCTACTTTATATGGGACACCACCACAGCATAGCTTGACAAGCAGTGCATCGGTCTGAGCCTGGGATCTGAACCAGCAAACCCTGGGCTGCCAAAGCAGAGTGCGTGAACTTAACCGCTAAGCCACCAGGCCGGCCCCCACAGTCAAAATTTTTTGAAAGCCATTGTGAGTTCCTGTTACTTCACATCCTTGCCAGCATTTGGTGTTGTCAGTGTCTGGAATTTGGCTCTTGTGATAGGTGAATAGTGAGCGATAGCTCATTGTTTCATTCCAGTCTCTTTTTAAAAAATCCATTGTCTTCAGGATAAAGCCCAGATGTCATAGGAAGGCATATAAGGTCCCTTGCGAGTTGGCTGTAGAGCCAGACTTCTGAAGTTTCAGCTCCACTACTTATTAGCTGCGTGTTCTTGGGCAAGTTACTTAATCTCCCTGTGCCCTAGTTTTCTTATTGTAAAATGATGATAATAATAAAACCTACCTCTTAGGGTGATTATGAGGATTGAGTGAATACATGTGAAGTGCTTAGCACAATGCATGAAACAGTAAGTGCCCAATATATGTTATCATCATTTGATCCTAAGTTACTTTACTGTCCCTGTCACTTGACACTTCCCATCTTGTGCTTCAGCCTCTGCAATATAAAATTGTTTGCAGTGCTTGGATTGAGCTATAGTGTCTCACTTCTAGGCCTTTGTTCCAGAATTTCCTTTTCTTTCTCTTGGCTAACTCCTACTCATCCTTAAAGACTTAATTTAAATGTCATTTCATCTGGGAAGCCTTTCTAGTCCTCCCTTCAAGGCTGGATAGTTGTGTCTCCCAAATTATTCTGTGCTTATGACACTATAGTGTAATTGCCTGTTTTCTGTTAGACTGGCAGCTCCCTGAGGGCAAGGACTGTAGTATTTTATTTATTATCAGAGTCCAGGAACATGATAGGTGCTCAGTATGTTTTTATTTAAATGAATAGACGAATGACTTTCTGTGATGCTGTATTGTGAGAAAATCCTACTATACTTGTTTCTATTTGTTATCTCCTTCTGTATTTTTAGTTCATGAAGCCTGGATATGAGAATTCAAGAGACTATCCTGACTTGGCAAAAGAAGCAGGTAATACAGAACATTTAGATCTTTGAACAGTTGAGTTTATTGTGTGGTCTGTCTTGATTGTGGAGCAGCCTTGCAACCATGAAAGGAAGCTTGGTCAAGGGCGAAGAACCCATACAGACAGTTGCCTTAGTGGCTCACTAGAAAGGAGAAAGGGAAAAGACCTTGGGCATTCTTAGCTAGATAGCCAGAGCAGACGGTGGCCTGTGATTTTATGTGTCATCCAACTGTTTGTTGAGATGGCAGAGTTCTGTGGGAGAGAAAGGTAGAGTCATTAAGAGATAACTTGATTCTAGTGTGTGTTTACCTTAGGGACTATGACAAAATTAGTGTCTTCCTTTCCTAGAAAAGGGATAATCACATTCAAAATGTATTAAATACGTCTATGGTGGTTTTCCTGTCTTCACTTCACTGAACCAAGATAGAGAATTCTTTTTCTGTCGGTGGGTTAAATGATAGAAAGGGTAGTGTGTGACTAAATGAGGCATGCAGTTTGTTATTGTTTATTCTAGTGAGTGTTAGTACTGTTAAGCAAAGGACTTCAGTGACTCCTAGTGAGCTGGAATTCAGAGAGAGAAGGGTCCACAGGTGTGGGTCCATGTTCTGTAGGCATTCTTCAGAGACACAGCAGAATTGTGTCCTGTCACTTCCATTCTTTAAAGACTTCTACTCTTTACACGTTCCTCCATCCTCCTTTCCTTCAGAGAAAGGTTGGGGATCCCTTTGTACCTAAATGCAAGTGACACTCATTTGAGTGATATAGCAATGCCATGTAACTTTCTGAGACTGTTTCAGATAGTTAACTTCTGTGCTTCCTTTGTTTTCCCATCCCTTTAACATTTTTATTTAATAATTATTTAAATCTGAGAGTATACACAGAAAACCTCATGTTGGGAGAAAATGTTCAACAAATATTGGTCAGTGCATCCTGGGCACTGGGAAGGATTCAAAGGGGTGTGCTATACAGATCTCTAGGCTCTTATTATCTAGAAGGGAACATAAGGCAAGTTTACATAGAAGACGAGTAGACCATGCAAAGTATAACATGCTGTTGGCATTTAGAGCAGGGACAGAGCACAGGCTGAACCTTTTTTTGTAACTCATTCTTTCCCACTGATTTCCCACTGAACACAGCGATGCATGTGTTCTATTGGAATACAGAATTATATAATAATAAAAACAAAATTTTGTGACCCAGGCCTAGCCACTATTAACATCTTGATATATTCTATTTTAGTATTTTTTCCTATGGCTATATGGGATCATATTCTATATGTAGTTTTTGTATCCTGATTTTTAAAACTTACTTTATCATGAGCATTTCTCCTGTCACTTAAAATTGTTTGAAAAAGAATTTAACTTTTGTGAAGTATATATTTATGCCATAATTTTTGTTGGACATTAGGTTTGCAACTTTTTAATATTTTAGAAGAATTATAGTGAACATCTTGCTAAATAAATACTTGTTCTCATCTCTAGTTATTTTTGAGGACAGAGCATAGAAGAAGACTGATTGGAACAGTGAATGTGAACATTTTTAAGACTCTTGCCAAATTATTTTTCAGACTGTTTACGTTATTAGAGTCTCACTAGCAGGATGAGAATGCTCTTAACATAATGTCGCTAACATTATTATAAGTAAAACATTTTTTTTTCTCATATGCTAAGCAGGAAAAAATAACTGATCTGACTAAACCAATCCCATAATCAATTGTATATTTTCTTAAGTTAGAAAAATTTCAAAATAATACATTCATATGGTAAAACAAAACAAAACAAAACACAGAATGGCTTAAATTCCCAAGGCTTTTCCCCAAGGGGGACTTCTTTTAACTGTTTTGGCTTGAGTTCTTCTGGTGGTTATCTCCATATATCTAAATGTTTATTCCACCACTCTTATTCCAGTTTTTGATTTATCAGTTTTAGACATCTCTTTGCTTTTCACTGTGGTAGATGAAGATTTAGCTCACACTTTCTCTCCAACCTCCACTCTCCTTGTCCCAATTTATTTTCATAATTTTTCTCAGTTCCTCCACTGGTCATTTCTGCAACTTTGGATAGCATCCTTAAAGCTCCGTTTCTTGTTCCTTAGACAGGATCATCTCTAGATCCTGGCTTTGTAAGATGACCACATGAGTATTCCCCCCACCAATAATGACATTCTATCCAATTTTGCCCTGTAGATGGGTGGTAGAGCTACAGAGATGAATAAGACAAGGACCTTGCCATTAAGGAACTTTAAGACTCTTGGGATTTAATATATTTATAGTTTAGTGTACAATTGGGACAAAAAACATTAAGTATCAAAAAGGAGGTGTGAAAAAGTGGTTCAGTAGCTTAGAGGAAGAAATGATTACTTCTGAAAGGAGAGATCCGAGATGATTTGATGAAAGATTGGTCATTTGAATTGATCATAGACTATATAGAAATAGATTTACTCTGGGAAAACTCTAAGCTTAATTCTTCTCACTTAAAGCAAATACTAAAAGCACTATTGGATAATCCTCTTGTTTTTTTATAGGCCAGAAGGCTTTAGCTGATGCACAGATCCCTTATTCAGCAGTGGAACAGGCGTGTGTTGGCTACGTTTTTGGTACGTGGTAAACTATATATTCTGAAAATTATTCACCCAAATCTAGCAGCAACTCCATAAACAATGCAGAGGCGTTCGTGAAATTTTAGCCCTCAAAACTCAGGATTCAGAGTCTTATTCTCATCATTCCTAGATTCCCCTTATGTGTCAGCCTAGTTTACATTTTTTTTGTTTGCCATTATTGTATTGCCAAAACAAGATGAATTAAAAAAAACATTTTTATCTATAAAAAAGAAAAAATTACCCATAGTTTCTACCATGTAAAGATAATTATGGTTCAGAAGATAAATTTTTGTTCTTTGTTGTCTTAAAATTTGTATTTATTGACTTTTTTGTATCTAATAAAATTTTTTCGTTAAACTTTTTTCTGATTAGAAAAATAGTATATACTAATTGTGAAAAAAAGAAAAAGGAAACACAGAAAAGCACAAGAAAAAAATGAGTCACTTGTAATCCTGTTATCCAGAGATTACTACCATTAATTTTTTAGTGTATATCCTTTAGTGAGTGTGAATTTGTGCGAATACTCATGCACATACAATTTTCTCTTAAAGAAAATAAGGTCCTAGTATACATACTTTTTGGTAACCTGCTTTTCTCTTTTTACTATATTCAATATTTCCCATGTCATTAAGTTTTCTTTTATACCAGCATTAGCATTTTTCAATTAAGTTTTTTTTTTTCTGGAATAGATTAAATATTTGCATGTTCAAAAATGTAAAAGGTGGACGGTTATATAGTGGAAAGTCTTACTCTTATTCCTGTTTCCTGCCGCATGGTTCCCTTTCCTTATACAACCAATTTCCCTAATTTCTAGTGTATCTTTCCAGAGATAATTTATGCATATACAAACAAGTATGTGTGAGTGTGTAAGTTCCCCTTCCCCTTTCTTTTCTTACACCCGTGGAAACATACACACTATTTTGTACCTTGCTTTTTTTTACTTAGTAGTTCTTGGTGCCTATTTCAAATTGTATCATATAGAGTTTCCTTGGTCTTTTTTGTGATAGAAATATCATAATTTATTTAATCCACTCCCTTTTAATGGATATTTAAAATGTTCGCAGTCTTTTTACAGCATTTTTAATTGCATGATATTCTAGTCTTGGGGATTTTACTGCAGTTTATTCAATAGTAGTAATGATATCCTGTTCTTGGACTTCATAAATTATTTCTAATTTCTAGGTGTTGTAAAAGGCTATAGTAAGCATTACTGTAGATGAATATTTGTGCATATTGTGATTAGTTTCTTGACATTTCCATATATCAAGAGAATTCTTGAAGGGAAATTTACTAGGTCGAAGACATGCACCATGTATTTATTGAAAAGGAGGTCTGAACATTGCTGTTTTCCCTGAAGACTCCTGGAGAGTCTGTACCTTCAGATGTTCCCGTCATGCCACTCCAGCATGTCTGCCTTGGTGGCTGTGTTACTTGGGAAAGGGAGTCAAATGTGTATTCAACTTGGATCCCTATTTTTCTGGAATGCCCTGGCACACAGGATCTTTGAAACTTTTTGAAGTTGTGGAACCTTTATATGAAGAGAAAATCATGGCCTTTTAATCAATTGGCATAAAGATTTATATCTGACAGTATGAATGAAATATTGCTTCCTTTATCATGAAGCCCTAGCCAGACTGAATTGTTTGCTATTCCTTGGTCATTTCTCTACTTTCCTACCTCTGTATTATGTAAAGAAAGTGCACGTACATTCTGTGTTTTGAGAATATTTTATATTTGCAGAGTAAATGATGCTTAATGCTAAAACTGTTTCTGAGTAAGATGTCAATAATGTATTTATTGTTCTGCCCATGTTGTGTGCGAGGCGAAGGCATAATACCGAAAAAACCATAATGTAGTATGATGTTGCATATATTAAATGTTTTGTGTTTGTTTTGTTTTTTTTTTTCTATACAGGTGACTCTACCTGTGGGCAGAGGGCTATCTATCACAATTTGGGATTGACTGGAATTCCTATAATCAACGTCAACAATAACTGTTCTACTGGTTCTACTGCTTTGTTTGTGGCCCGACAGCTGATTCAGGGTGGTGAGGAATGCTTATTTGTCTAGTGCACTTAAATAAATGTGGGGTTATTGCCCCCCTTTCATCATTTCTCCACACGACCGTCAGAGGGATTGCTTTATAATGTATTTCTTTTTAAAAAAATAACTTTATTGAAATTGAAATTTATATACCATAAAATTTACCCTTTTAAAGTGTACAATTCAGCATTTTTTAGTATATTAACAAACTTATGCAACCAACACCATTATCTAATTTTAGAACATTTTTATCACCCCAAAAGGAAACCCTGTACTCATTAGCAGTCACTCCCCATTTCTCTCTTCCCTCAGCCCCTGACAACCACTGATCTACTTTCTGTATCTATGGATTTACATATTCTGAACATTATATAAATGGAATTGTATAATATATGGCCCTTTTTGGTTTCTTTCACTTAGCATGTTTTCACAATTCATCCATATTGTAGCATGTATCAGTACTTCATTCCTTTTTATGGCCAATAATATTCCATTGTATGGATATACCACATTTTGTTTATCTGTTTATCAGTTGATGGACATTGGGTTGTTTCCATTTTTTGGCTATTATGAGTAATGCTGCTATAAATATTTGTGTACAATTTTTTTTGGTGTCCATATGTTTTCAGTTCTTTTGGGTGTATATTATATTCTGTATTTCCAAATATTCTAGGGTTTTTTCTTAGGCCCTCTATTCTGTTCTACTGATTGATTGTTGATTATAGCTTCACTACTCGATGTTTTAATTGTTGGAGCTGTATACTGTCTTACTGTTTGATAATGTTAATGTCCCCTGTACCCCCTTACCTTGTATTTTTCTTCCTTTTTTTTAAAGAAAATTTTGGCAGTTCTGTCTTGTTTTGCTGTTCAGTTGAACTTTAACATCACCCAAAAATAATTCTGTTGAGATTTTGATCAGGATACTTTTATTTTTTTATTTTTTATTTTTTTATTTCTTTTTCCCCCAAAGCCCCAGAAGATAGTTGTATGTCATAGCTGCACATCCTTCTAGTTGCTGTATGTGGGACGCAGCCTCAGCATGGCCGGAGGAGCGGTGCATTGGTGCACGCCCGGGATCTGAACCCGGGCCGCCAGCAGCGGAGCGCACGCACTTAACTGCTAAGCCACGGGGCCGGCCCTGATCAGGATACTTTTTAAAAAAAATTTTATTTAATGTTTTAAAATTCAAAGTTAGCTATTTATAATTGTTCTTCACTGAAACATATTTCTACATTAATTAAAAATTTTATTAACATTGAGAAAGGAAAAATTAAATACTTTCTTGATTTTTCTTATTATCTAGAAGCATATAAGAATTTTCCCTGGGCCGGCCCTGTGGCTTAGCGGTTAAGTGTGCGTGCTCCACTGCTGGCGGCCTGGGTTCGGATCCCGGCCGTGCACCGACGCACAACTTCTCCGGCCGTGCTGAGGCCGCGTCCCACATAAAGCAACTAGAAGGATGTGCAGCTATGACATACAACTATCTACTGGGGCTTTGGGGGAAAAAAAATAAATAAAAAATTTAGAATTTTCCCTGGAATTTTTTACTTATTAAAAATTTTATAGGATTATAGTATGTTTTTCCATTTTATATGAATTGACATACTTATTTAAATTGAAGTATTTAATGGTATTTTGTTGGATGTCTGGAAATATAATTTTCCAAAATAATTACATTTTCTTTCAAGGTATGGCAGATTGTATCTTGGCTCTTGGGTTTGAGAAGATGGAGAAGGGATCCTTGGGAATGAAAGTGAGTCTCATTTAGTGTTATTTTGGAGTTGTTATAAAACTATGAGAAAACTTTGCCTATTTGACTACCATAAATAGAGCCGTTAATAAGCAATATAAAACATAATTTGGCACAGTTATTAAATGTGCTGATATAACCCAAAAGCTGAAAGATGACATTGTATATGTATACATAGATCCTGGTATTTTAGAACAATAAAGAATCATAGAGATAATTTAGTTCAACCTATTTATTTTGTGAGTGATGAAACTGATGTTCAGAGAGATCAGATGATTGAACTTGAGGTTGACCTATCTATTTAATTTGAAAGTCATTCATTCAAAAATTAATTCCATTCAACAAATTGAAGAGCATTAATTGTGTGGGACTTCTGTTTCTGGTAATGGCAAGCCAAGTTATTTGAACCAGTTCTCCTACTGATGACAACTAGAGTATTTGAATAGAATATAAACAGTATGTCCTAAAGGCATTGAGGAGCTAACAAGAGAGAGGAATTGCAGGTGAAGGCCAGAAAATTAATATCAATATTTGAAGCTGCTTTTGCCTTGAAGGCATTTGTTGATCAGGAAGCTGTGAGCTTCAATTTTGATAGCCCCCTAGAATGAAGAGAAAAGTAGTTAAAGCCTAGGTCCTCCCAAGATCAGAAGTTTAATACCCACTCCCCACATTAAGCTGGGACCCTATAGGAGTAAACTCTTTGGGTAAGGGTGAATGCAAAGTAAAACTGCCCCCCTCCCCTACATCCTCTTTTCCCCACTTTCATGAGATTACAGGGAGAGTTGCCTTGGCACTGAGCAGAACGGGAGAGAAGAAAGAGAAAGAAAATTAGGAAGAAAAGGAAGAAAAACCTTCCATTGAAAATTTATAAACCACAGGCTATCCCTCATGTGGGATTGCTGCCAAAATTCTCTTCACTTGGGTGGTCAAAGAAACCTCAAACCATGAATTGAATCTAAATTGGTTCCAGAATGGTAGTAGCCTAAGCATCGAACAGATGCAAATGCAAATTTTGTTTTGGAGGAAAGCATCTACCTTTTAGACTTTGCGAACTCTTCCAGTAAGTTTTCAAAGACATGCAGTCAAAGATAACCGAGCATTAAAGAAACAAGGTACTGTAATTGAGAACCAGGAGAAAGAAGGCATAGTAAAAAGTGATCTCTGAAGATTTCAAAAACTGGATTTATTGAACACAGATTGAGGCAAGCTTACTATGTTTAAAGAAATAAAAGACAAACCTGGAAATATCTTAAGGGTATAGGAAACCCAAAAAAGGACATTACAGGCGTAAAAAATAGAATTTATAGACAAGAAAAATGAAATAATTAAAATTAAAAATTCAGGAGATAGGTTTGATAGCAGATTATACATGACTAAAAAGAGAATTAGTGAAACTAGACTAGATTAGAAGTAATTATTTAGAATACACTATAGAAAAAAGATGGAAAATTGGCAGGAAGTTAAGATATATGGAGGATAGTGAGATAAGGTATAATGAATGTGTAATTGGAATTAATGGAGAAGTGGTGAGAGAGAAAATAGGGCATAGGCATTTTGTTTATCTTTTCAAAAGATCAGCTCTTGGTTTCACTGAGCTTTTTTCTTGTCTTTTTAATCTCTATTTCATTTATTTCTACTCTGATCATTGTTATTTCTTTCCTTCTACTAACTTTGGGCTTAGTTTGTACTTTTTTTTCTAGTTCTGTGAGGTGTAAAGTTAGGTTGTTTATTTGAGATCTTTCTTGTTTCTTAACGTAGGCATTTACTACCATGAAATTCCCTCTTAGAACTGCTTTTGCTGTATTCCATAAGTTTTGGTATGTTGTATTTCCATTTTTATTTGTCTCAAGATACTTTTTGATTTCTCTTTCGATTTCTTCTTTGACCCATTGGTTGTTCAGTAGCATTTTGTTTAATCTCCACATATTTGTGAATTTTTCAGTTTTCTTCTTGTAATTGATTTCTAGTTTTATGCCATCGTGGTTGGAAAAGATGGTTGACATGATTTCAGTCTTCTTTTTTTAAAAATTATTTTATTGAGGTCACATTGGTTTATATCATTATGTAAATTTCAGGTGTACATCATTATCAATTTTCTTAAATTTATTAAGACTTGTTTTGTGGCCCAACACCTGATCTATCCTGGAGAATGTTCCATGTGTGCTTGAGAAGAATGTGTATTCTGTTGCTCTTGGATGGAATGTTCTGTATATGTCTGTTAAGTCCATCTGGTCTAACGTGTCATTTAAGGCCAGTATTTCCTTATTGGTTTTCTGTCTGAATGATCTATCTATTGATGGAAGGGGGTATTAAAGTTCCCTACTATTAATGTATTGCTCTCTATTTCTCCCTTTAGGTCTGTTAGTATTTGCTTTATATATTTAGGTGCTCCTGTGTTGAGTGTGTAAATATTTACAAATGTTATATCTTCTTGTTGGATTGACCCCTTTTTCATTATATAATGATCTTCTTTGTCTCTTATTACAGTCTTTGTCTTAGAGTCTATTTTGTCTGATATAAGTATAGTACCCCAGCTATTTTGATTTCCATTTACATGGAATATCTGGTTTTTTTAATAGAGTTTTTTTTTTTTTTTTGGTGAGGAAGATCAGCCCTGAGCTAACATCCATGCCAATCCTCCTCTCTTTGCTGAGGAAGACCAGCCTTGAGCTAACGTCCATTGCCAATCCTCCTCCTTTTTTTTTCCCTTTTTCTCCCCAAAGCCCCAATAGATGGTTGTATGTCATAGTTGCACATCCTTCTAGTTGTTGTATGTGGGACGCCGCCTCAGCGTGGCCAGACAAGCGGTGTGTCGGTGCGTGCCTGGGATCCAAACCCGGGCCGCCAGTAGCAGAGCGCACGCACCCAACCGCTAAGCCACAGGGCCGGCCCCTACATGGAATATCTTTCCATCCGTTAGCTTTCAGTCTGTATGTGTCCTTCCATCTGAAATGAGTGTCTTGTAGGCAGCATATAAATGGGTGTTGTTTTTTAATCCATTCAGCCACTCTGTGTCTTTTGATGGTAGAATTTAGTCCATTTACATTTAAAGTAATTACTGACAGGTATGGACTTATTACCATTTTGTTAATTGTTTTCTGGCTGTTTTGTAGTGCATAGGCATTATTTGAAGAGATAATGGCGATGAATTTTCTTGAACTGGCAAAGGACACTAATCTATGGATTGAAAAATCCTAGTGAATCCAAAGTAAGATAAATAAAAAGAAACTCATACATAGACTTGTCACAGTGAAACTGCAAAACAAAAGAAAACAAAATGAAAGAGAATTGTGGAGTGAGTATTAGTATCTTTGTATGAAGAATATTACTAGAACAGAATGTTATAGATATTTATTTTGTATATCTATGGATATTGAATTTTGGATTTGTGTCGGCTTTAGAATAATTTTGCATTCTGTTTGTAAAAAAGCAGTTAACAAAACCTTTAAAAGCAGTTTTTAAGTAATTTGAAGCAACTTTTTGACAAATTAAAGACTAAGGGCCTTTGTGTTTGGTTATCAACATGATTTTAAAGAGTTGTGTTTTAGTTTGACTCTATTTTCTTCATCTTAAAAGTAATCTTCATTTTAGTAATAATCATTTGGTAATGGTAGGTAATTTTTTATATATATATATAAATATTTTTTTTTCTTCTGAGGGGAATTGCTTCTTTTTTTTTAAATTTTATTTATTTATTTTCCCCCAAAGCCCCAGTAGATAGTTGTATGTCATAGTTGCGCATCCTTCTAGTTGCTGTATGTGGGACGTGGCCTCAGCATGGCCGGAGAAGCACTGTATCGGTACACGCCCGGCATCTGAACCTGGGCCACCAGCAGGGGAGCGCTTGCACTTAACCACTAAGCCATGGGGCCGGCCTGGGAATTGCTTCTTAAATTGTATACTTGACTGTTTAAAATATGAATATCTATGAATTTATCTTTCTGGTAAATTCAGATTTTCCTATAGAAGGTGCTACAATATAAAAATAGAATCATTGTTAGAAAATGAGTTGAAGGTAACTTTTAGCCTGTTCATCTGAGGTTATACTATAATCTAACTCATGAGATCAGTTCAATTCAATTTTCTCTGTTCAAACATTTAAGGACTTCTACCCCAAATTAAGTTAAGTACATGTGATAGTATCTTTTAGTAATCATAAGAGTGTCTGGCACATAATAGGCATTCAAATTAACAGGAGCTGTTTCCCTTTTTTCCTTAGAGAACATTTTAATAAAGTGATGGAAGTTAGGTTGGGTCTTAAAGATAATTAAGGGATAATAATTATATAAAATTATTATATAATAAATAAGGATAATTATAATAAAGATAATTCAAGATAGGGGAAGATAAGATCTTTCTGGATGTGGGAGAAAACATCGCAAACCAAGTCATGGATGTTGGAGTGAATATAATATGTTCGGGGGACAGTTTGACTGGATTGGAGGGTGGCAATTGGAGAAGAGTGTGAAGTAAGATTGTTAGGTGAGTGCCTAACGGGCGTGCCTACCATTTATAAAACATGAAAAATAGATTTTTTTCTTCAGTAGTGAATGGTAGGTACCTTGGTAACTTTTATTTAAAAATTGTTAAAAATCTATAAAGTAGTAAAATTCATTTATAATTCTACAATTTAAAAAAATGTATATAAACTAAAAGTCTTTCCTTCTGCCTGTTTAATCTTGTCCTTCAGAGGTAACCAATGTTAATAATTAGGTATCTATGTGTCTTTCCTTTTTTCTAAGTTTATATAGACATATCTAAGCATTCATACATATACACACACATATATATGTTCAGAAACACTGATATGTTCATAAAGAGGATTAATGATTTTGTACATGTTACTTTTTCAGTTAACAGATCGACGTCTTTCCTGGTTAGACTGTACTGATATGTTTCCTTATTTTTAACAGCTGCTTAGTATCTCATTGCATGGCTGTAGGGTTTTCAACCACTCCCTTCTGATTAGCTTGTTTAATTTCAGTGTGTTTTTTTGCTATTAC